AGGGAGGTCGATGCTCTCCGCTCCCTGTAACTCACCCAGGGGTTGGGGATCTGGGCCGACTGCCCAGCATCCCTGTAGGGCCTGTAGAGAGACCTCGGTCCCATCTCTACCTGCCATCAGAGGTTCCTCCCAGTATACCTCTACGATATCCTTCCAGCTGAAGGACTCTCGATCTGGCTCTGCTGCTGTGCTCTCTAGGGGGACCTCTGGATGCTGTTGAGGAAGGGGACGGGTTGTCTCTTCCCGGGACCCCTGGATGATGTGCTGGTACTTCCACTCCAGGACACATTCCTGGGTGACTAGATACCGCAGGTCTGCTTCCAGGCCAATAGCTCTAGGGAGTCCCAGCTTGTCTTCCCGGTCATCATACAGGTCCCAGAAGCGTGAGTCTGTAGCCCTTCCAAAGTCATCATCGTCCATATTCTCCCAGAATAGATCAGGGCCATTGTAATCCCCACACTCAGGGAATCCATACTCAGCTATCTCTGGAACAAGCTGAGTCGCGTACCACTGTAGCGCCTGGTATGCGTTGTCGAGCCACAGTTCACTGTATACTAGATCCTCTAGTTTAGTCACCCACACTGGAAGGGGTTGTTTGCCCAGGAGGGGCATCCGCTCTGCCAATCGAGCCTGGATTTGCTGCCCTCTGCTGATTCTACGATCACCTCGCCAACGCTGAACTTCCTGTAGGGCTTCTTCCCACAGCTCGCCTCTGGCCTCACTTCTGTACCCACACATCTCCTCTTCTGAGACTGCCCCATCTTTCCAGGATAGGAAGCCATGCAATCTGTCGAGGAACCTCTCCTCCATTTCGGCTGCTGTGCACGGACTTGCTGGCTCCATGCTGCTCTAGGTAGGGACGCTGCGCAGTGGCTAGCGTTGCCCTCAATACTCTCTCATACGATACCAGTGCTGTTGGGGTGCTGCTCCTTGCGCTATGACGCCATCCCACCGCTTGCCACCAAATGTTATGGTTGCCTCCAGGCTGGCTGGAAGTTGGACCGTAGAAAAGGATGCTCCTAGCGCTCACCAAAGGACCATCAGCACCGTAGACACCATAACTACTGCGTAGCCACCATAAGTACTGCAGACTCCACGAACCATCGCTGCTGGGCTGGTATCTCGCCGTCTGCTCTGTGCCCTGGACCCACGACCAGGCTCCAGGTTCCAGTAGGTGAACCTCTTCCTTCTGCAGAGCGAAGCAGGATCAGGAACAAGAGCTCTTACAAGAGCTCAGTAGCTAAGAGAGTATGAAGAGCATAGCAATCCCTGTAGTGATTATAGCTGTCCCCTACAAACATGAGTCAAGGCTGCAAGTTAGAGGGTCAAGAAGATCTGAGGTGCTGGCACACCCAGCCTGGTTTTTATTACAGTCTTGCAAATACAGGACCGCCCACAGGGAGGTATAAAACAACCAATTATAAATGTACATTACAGAAACACTCCCAGCAATTACACACAAAGCTCCTCCCCTCTGCCTGTGATCTAATTATGTTGCACAATGGGTTAACATAATTAAACACAGGCAGTAAAAATACAGTTTTTATCCATACCCTGTAACTTTAAAACCATAGATCCAATCTTCATACAAATACATATTTGGAATCAATCCATCAAGGGGAGCAACATATTAAAAAATGGCACAAATCAGACAAGGGGTTCACAAGTTAGCAAAAGTATCTTTTGGGGCCTAGCTGGCAGCATGGTTTTCTGGCCCAAACCAGATTTACAGAGCCCTCTATCCTGGACAATGGGGAAAGTAATCCAATCATCCAGGGATAGAGGCAGACTCCATTAACCACATGTTAGCAAAAGACACAAAAATGCATAACTCCTATCATACTGAACAGAACCCCCACATTCAACCTATCCCCAGATGGCTTGGATCTGAGCGCTCAATATATCCAAACAGCGCTCAGATCCCACAAATACAGTCAAATCGCCATACACACTAGGTCCATAGTCGTGGGGCAGAAGGCTGGCAATTAGGCTTCTCCATAACACAGGGAAGCAGGGCAATTTGTCAAATAAAATAACAGTTACAAATGGCAGTTTGTAACATTTAGCCCTTTTACATTGTAGGTGACTAATTTCATAACGGTGTTCTAGGTAGTCTCTAAATCTAATCGTGGGTATATCTGTAATGGCACTTAGTTTGGTTGTCTTCGAGTCGGCATGGTTATGGGGTGGTGGTTGGCGTCTTTTGATGCTTTGTGGGGCCTGGGGGTAGGGTACATTAGAAGGTAAGAAACACATAGGGGGTGTGGGACAAACAGATAGGCAGTACGCCTGAAAGGGCTCCATCTCAGGGAGCCAAGATGCGCCGGGAGAATCCCGGTCACAGTCGCTGGGGGGTGGGTGTATGAGCCCGGTCGTAATCCGGGGACTCAACCGTGGTTGCAGTAGTGGGATCACAGCGTTGCAACAAAAGTATAGAGGCGCCCTCTAGGATTTTGATCCAGGGGCCTTCCAATGAGTTGGCCCTAGAGTATTGCGCCTGTGCCCCAGAGGTCCTGTGAACTAACCCCTGAACCTGTAACTTTGGGCACCTGTACTTGGCAATGTGGGTGCAAAAACCAAACCAAACCAAAGGGGGAACAGAATGAATACATTTGTTACTTTAAACTCACATGCTTGTCATCTTAAGTCTCTAGTGGTATACTCATGGGTCGGTGACCGCTTGTCGCCTTCTGGAGGCAAGAGGTGACTGCGGTGTTCAGGCGGTTGACCAGTCTCTTGTTACTCTGGGGATTTTATGGAGGTGTTGTTTCACCTCCTCTGCGACCTGTATGCCCCAGTCCTTGAGTTTAAGGAGCCCCATTTCTGTGTTGAGTATCACGTACATTTTCCCCTCGCGGTGGATCAGTAGTTTGGCTGGGTATCCCCACCTGTAGGCGATGTTCTTCTCTCGCAGGGTGGCTGTGATCTGGGTCAAACTTTTCCTAAACTGTAATGTTTCTGCTGATAAGTCAGCAAAAATTTTGATGTGTCCATACGGGTCCGGCATGCCTGCCGTTCTGCTTACATCCCACTCTGTGGTGGGCGGCATGTGTTGTGGCCGTCTTAGGCGATGCACCCTGTCGACTACCATCTGGTCTGGGTGGATGGCTGGAGCTAGTGCTTGGAACATGTCTTGGAGGTAGTCACCCAGGCCCGCCGGCAGTATCGTTTCAGGGATGCCCCTTATCCGGATGTTGTTCCTCCTGGAGCGGTCTTCCAGGTCAGCCACTTTTGTTTTAAGGTTATTTAGTTGTGTTTCGTAGTCCTGCACTTTTTCAGCCAGGTAGTTATGGGCATCTGTGCAATCATCCAGTTTCTGCCCTATTTGGGCTGTACGCTGGCCTATGTCTGCAACATCTTTCCTTAACTCTGTTGCCAGGTTGTGCAGTTGTTTCTTCATAGCAGCTGAAAGTTGTCAGCTAGTTCGGCCAGCATGAGCCTCATTGAGGTTGTGGTAAGGGGCTGTTCTGCCAGGGAGGTGATAGAAGTTGTAAGTGACATGGATCCCTCGCGGGAGCAATCTCCGTCGCCATCTTGTACTAGGCCGCCGGTTTCCCCGCGGTTTTTTCGCGGCGGATCTGGCCATAAAAAAGGACGCTCATTCTTCTTTGGCAGCTTTCTGTTTCTGCCTCTGAGACATTGTGGGTCTTTGGGTACCTTTATTTTGTGCTCTGTAGTCCGTTTAGTTGTGCTCCGTCCCCAGTGCTGCGGGAGCTTCACAGACGTGCGTCCATCCTGCTCGAGCTCCAGGCCACGCCCCCTCTTAACTGCATTTTTAATGAAGGCAAGGGTACATGATATATAATATTACTTTCATCATTTATTTTGTGTATACTTTATCTTATTTTTTTCATAAGAGTGAGTTACTTTTCTGTGAAAGTTGGATATGGCAGTAGCAAATACATTTGCAATCGTTAAATTTATAGATGAAGATGATGCACCAGGCATTATTCTACTTTCATGGCTGGCGACTGATTACTCTACATGTTACTATCCCGAGTCTAAAACTGACCAAATGAGAGAACGCCTCATTAAGGATGACGTGAGTCCACAGAACAAAGCATACAAGTGGGCAATCTAATGTGCCACCAGATAGAAGTGGTGTGTTTAGTATTGTTCTGATCAGTTTAATACCTTCCGCGTCTCCTATCAGTGGACGTGTATATGGCAGCCATTTTAGGAACCGTACACCTGGGACCCGAGCAAGGTCAACAGGCTACAACATTTGTCCCAAAAACAGTCAAAGGCTTCCTCCAGATTAGCCATTATTTGACTGTGTAAGTACTTCAGGTCAGCTTAGTGCCTCATCCTGCCTTGAGTAACATGAGCAGGGTCGTCCACCATCTAGGACACTGCCACTCCTCGCCCACCGACAATCTTTAAGGGCGATTTGTGGTTCAGAATATCAATGTGCCATTGCCCAGCCGGGTCAGGGATGACCCCCACTGGTCCGATGGGGGCTAGCGTAAGTCGACGCTATGATCTGTAGCGCAGGGAAAGTGGCCGCCTACCCCCAGTTCAAGTTCTTGTAGGCCGCAAGCTTGCTTAACGTTCATTTAGTCTTTGAATATAATCCAGTAGGAAGTTGGAAATGACTGGCTCTTTGGGATCAGCAGCTTAAACAAAGATATAAGGTGTCTGCATTGATCAATGAATACTGTTCTTTGTATTTGCTTTATCCACCAACTCTAAGTAGACTTACAATGCTTGTGTCTTGCAGCGTATCCTTCAGGAAGAAGAGCCTGAACCCTTACCGGCTGCACGTGTCTTACCTGTACATGGAAAGCTGCTCTGGTTCCTTGATGAGCCAGCTGCCCGTGAGTTAACATGTCCCGTGGAGAAGCACTCTGTCCTGTAAAGCCTCACCAAAAAAAATTAAAATAAATAACAGCACATTACTCCCATGGGAATAGAGCGGGTAAACTGCTGGCATCGAGGTTAAAAAGCGACAGCAGTCACAGAAGATAGCATTCCTACACACAAAAGCAGGGGGGAAAGTTATGTCGCCGCTATCTATTAGCGACGAGTTTGCACAATACTATGGAGACCTGTACAACCTCCGTAATGACGCAACCATAACCACCCCGACAGATACCGAGATAGAGACTTACCTAAACAAACTCAACCTTCCGACCCTGACAACTCAACAGAAAGAAACACTCACCCGACCAGTCACCGCAGAGGAGGTAAGGGATACCGTACAGACGCTGCCAAGGGGCAAGGCCCCGGGCCCAGATGGCTTTGCCAACTCTTATTACAGCAAGTTTAGAGTTATACTGGCCCCCTGCCTAGCAGAGGTTTTTAATGAAGCCGCACGATCACAAACCCTACCGGGGGAGATGCAGCTAGCCCACATTATCCCTCTGCCCAAGCCGGGCAAACCTCCAACCTACCCTCAAAACTTTAGACCCATATCCCTCCTCAACACTGACACCAAAATACTGGCTAAACTGTACGCTATTCGACTGGGTCCGATACTACCACACATTATACATGATGATCAGGTGGGATTCGTGACGGGGCGCCAGGGGGCAGACAACACCAGAAAGGTCCTTGACCTCATGCAAAGCCTAGGGGTGACACGGGAAGGGGGGGTTCTGCTCTCATTGGACGCAGAAAAAGCCTTCGACCGGCTGGGATGGGGATTTCTGTAGTCAGAGCACTCTATTCGGCACCCAGAGGTCAGGTCCTTAATTCAGGTTTTGTGTCAAAAAAAGATAGTCATCACCAATGGAACGAGACAGGGGTGCCCCCTGTCCCCCTGCTATACTTACTGGCACTGGAGCCTCTGGCTGCAGTGATCAGAGCTCACCCTGATATCCACGGCGTCCAAGTGGGGGACAGTGAGTACACTCTCAACCTCTTCGCGGACGACATACTCTTGACCCTGACGCAACCTCTAATATCCCTACCGAACCTACTACAGTGCATACAAGACTATAAGAAAGTATCCTACTACAAACTTAATCTCACAAAAACACAGGCGATGGGAATTCACCTACCAGGACGTACCCTACAAACACTGACGGAATCCTTTAATTTTGACTGGAGGGAAGATTATATCACATTTCTGGGGATCAAGCTAGCCAAGACGAATTGCCAAATGTTTAAATACAATTACGAGAAACTCTTGCAGGAAATTACTCAGACGTTAGACCAATGGAACAGTGACTTCCACTCATGGCATGGCCGCATAGCGGCATTTAAAATGTCACTGTTGCCAAAACTACAATATTTATTCCGCACGCTGCAGATCCCCATCCCCAGGCAATATATGGTCAAACTACAAAAAACCATCACGAGATTCACATGGGCGAATAAAACACCCAGGGTGGCACACTCCACAATCAAAAGACTAGCGGGGAGGGGAAACTGTACTACAAGGCTGCCATTTTAGCCACGCTGGCCACGGCACACAGGGCAGAAAACCCACCGCAATGGGTTGATATTGAATCCCACTGGGCATGCACCACTTATTTTGGGTGCCAAAACACCTGAGGCCGACAACACCACACATGCTAGAGACCACTAAACTGATGCTGCACACATGGGACACACACAGAACGCAACTTAGCGGCTCAGGAGCCACATCGTTAGCATCGACAATGTATAGTATATATCTGAGGAACAAAACATCCGGGCAAGGGGGTGACTTTCTGACGTTTGCAGACAACACAGTTCAAATTAACATTCAAATGACAATTCATGACAGATCACACAAGTGAAGAGCCCTGCCAACGTCGTCTCAGAATAGAGACTGTTCCCCGTCCTCAAAGCCCCTGATACACACTGACAAAGAGCGGAATAGAGACTGTTCCCCCCTACATAGGGGCACTGTGCGTGCAATCTAATGTGCCACCAGATAGGAGTGGTGTGTTTAGTACTATTCTTATCAGTTTAATACCTG